CAAGCAGAGGGTGCTACTAGGGAGCCACAGATGCCTTCCCGCTACACAGGGCACTTAGCCAGCTCCTTCTTCTTGTTCACAGAAGCTGCGATGATCACATTCTACAGCAGGAGTTTGAAAAATGACTTCGCTTTTGAGAATGCGTGGGATATATATATTTTATTTCTGCTTGCCATGGGGATTGAGTGTCTGCTATTGACATAAAGTTTATAAAGCACTTTGAGGCTCTGGGATAAAAGAGATGATTACAAAGAAGTATAAGAATATTAAAAAAGGTCAAAAAGAGACTATTTGGCCCTATTTCCCAACTCATTTTTATTTTAATAGAAATTCTATGTGCAGAGAAGACACATAGAAGGGAGATGGCAGTGGACTTATAAGAAGAAGTAGTAATTAATTTAATAAAAAGGTAGAATTCATGCTGTATGAGAACATGGCATTTTGAGTCAAAGACTTAAGTTTGACTCCTCACAGTCTAACATTTACAACGTATCAGACATTTTTCTATAAACTTTACAATAATCAACTAATATATCCTTATAACACTTGTATGAGGTAGAGACTGTTAATATTCCTATTTTAGAGATGGGCAAAGAGAGGCACAGAGAAGTTAGTCACTTGCTTAAGTCACAAGGTCAAACAGCCAGCAAGTGGCAGAGCCAAGATGAGCTGAGAAATATGTTAAAGTTCTGATAGTAGTAGTAATGGTAGCCACCACCAATTGGAAATATTTACTTTCCCAGACTCTATGATGTCTTACATGGTGCATAAGAGCTGAAAAGTATTAGGTTTTAAATTTTAAATCATGAAATATACCACTCATAAATATGTAGTAGAATGTTTATGAGTAAATATTTCATTTATAACATATTATCTTTTCTTTAGAACATATTCTAATTGATTCATGATTTGGCAGGGTAAAAAGTGTATCTGAAGCTAATATTTCTCTCTTAATTTGCTTGTGGCAGTCATTTGATCCAATTTCCAGTAGCAATTTGAGACTGGGTATGTGCTACATTACTTGCCTTTATATTCAGCTCTAGGATATAGCTGATCCAAACATAAAAACTTCTTCCAAACATCATTATGTAATAATATCTATCTGATAAAAATGAGTTTTTGAATAAATATAATGAAAGGACATAAGTATATCTGCATTTCAAGTACCACAGACGATCCTGATAAATTATTCTAAAATAATTTGGCCCCTTTATGGGACAAATGAATACAAGACATAAAGTTATTTTATAGCTGAGAATGGCTTCAGAAAAAACAAATAGCTCACGTCCCCACACACCTATGAATTTCATTTTGCGTCATGTGAGGAGTACTGCTCCTTGATAACTTGACGATTTTGCCGAATTCAGCTTCTGGCATTCAATCTGGACATCCAGTCACAGAATAAATGTGTCATCTCTGCTAATACTGAGAGCAGTTGAAAGAATGGGGCATGGAATCAAGAAAGAAATAGATAAAAATGAGATCAAGAGGAAAAGGTGAGGTATACACAGAACGTGTCCAAATAACATGGACAAGTGAAGAAGCTGTGCTTGCGACTGTTTAGTCTCATGAAAATAAAGAAGAAAAATAACAGCGCATTTCAGGTAGCCAAAGCGCAGGAGGTTTACAGGCTAGGAAAGTGGCCATGTCTCTGTACATGGGCGTGCTTTGAAGAACACAGTGACAGTCACACGTGACCTCTGCTGCGGGTGAAAATGTTTCCTCTAGGGATTATATTTTTCATATTCCTTTTTTTTTGTTTTGTTGCTATTAAGGAACATTTTTTGTTGCATATGATGGCGTTTGAAACATGACAGATATTATGAACACACTTTAAAATGTAGCTTCATGGAGCCGTCTCGGCTCCGTTACCCTGTTCCGCTACGGGCACCCCGCATTTGATCAGGCTTCACAGACGCCGCTTTTTACAGATTGAAGTGCGTGGCAACCCTTCGACGAGCGGGTCTATCGGCTCCATTTTCCCAGCAGCATTTGCTCACTTCATGTCTCTGTGTCACATATTGGTAATTCTTGCAATATTTCAAACATTTTCATTATTATTATATTTCTTATGGTGATCTGTGATCAGTGAGCTTTGATGTCACTACTGTAACTGTTTTGGGGTGTTGTGATGAGCAAACTTAACCAATAAATGCTGTGTGTGTTCCGACTGCTCCTTTGACCAGCTGTTCCCGTCTCTCTGTCTCTCTCTCTGTCTCTCTCTCTCTCCTTGGGCCTCCCTATTCCTTTCGACACAAGAATATTAGAATTAGGCCAATCAGTAACCCTCCGATGGCCTCGTCAGTGTTCAAGTGAAAGGAAGAGTCGTGCGTCTCTCACATAAAAGCTAGAAATGATTAGGCTTAGTGAGGAAGGCGTGTCAAAGGCAGAGACAGGTGGAAAGCCAGGCCTCTTGTGCCAGTTATACAGGCTGTGAATACAAAGGGAAAGCTCTTGAAGGAAATGAAATGTGCTCCTCCGGTGAACACACCAATAAGGAGAAAGTGAAACGGCCTTACTGCTGACATGGAGACGTGCTAGTGGGCTGGGCGAAAGACCAAAGCAGCCACAGCAGTCCCTTAACCAAAGCCTAACCCTGGGCAAGGCTCTGACTGTCTTCAGTTCTCCGAAGGCTGAGAGAGGCGAGGGAGCCGCAGAGGGTAAGTTTGAAGCTAGCAGAGGACGGTTCACGAGGTTTAAGGAAAGAAGCTGTCTCCACAACATATAAGCGCAGGTGAAGCAGCGAGTGCTGAGGCAGCGAGTCTGCAGGTTATGGAGACGATCTAGCCAAGATGCTTAATGAAGGTGCCACACTAGACAACAGATGGCCTTCTACAACTTTCATAGCTAGAGAGAAGCCATGCCTGTCTTCACAGCATCGAAGGACAGGCGGACTCTCTTGTAGGGGCTGATGCGCTGGCCACTTCAAGTTGAAGCCAGCGCTCATTTGCCATGCCACAAATCCTACGGTCCTTAAGACGGTAGATTTAGCATTAATTATGCTAAATCCACCCTGACTGTGCTTTATAAATGGAACAGCAAAGCCTGGAAGAGAGCACATCTGTTTACAACATGGCTTACTGAATATTTTAAGCCCACTGTGGAGACCTGCTGCTCAGAAAAAAAAGATCTCATTTAAAATATTACTGTTCATTGACAATATACAGGATCACCCAAGAGCTCTGATGAAGATGTATAATGAGATTAATGTTGTTTTCATGCCTCCTAACACAACACCCATTCTGTAGTTTGAACCACTCATGGTTCAAAAAGTCATTGTGAGTTTCAAGTCTTATTATTTAAGAAACACATTTCATATGGCTATAGCTGCCATAGCTAGTGATTACTATGATATATATGGGAAAAGTCAATTGAAAACCTTCTGGAAAGGACTCACCATTCCAGGTGCCATTAAGATCACTCATGATTCATGGGAAGACATCGAAATATCAACATTAATAGGGATTCGGAAGAAGTTTATTACAACCCTCGTGGATGACTTTGAGGGGTTCAAGACTTCAGCGGAGACAGTTACTGCAGATGTGGTGGAAACAGCAAGGGAACAGCAAGGGAACTAGAATCAGAAGTGGAGACGGAAGATGTGACTGGATTGCTGGAATCTCATGATAAAACTTTTATAAATGCATGAGGAGTTCCTCTTTATGGATGAGCAAAGAAAGCGGTTTCTTGAGATGGAATCTACTCCAGGTGAAGATTCTGTGAAGACTGTTGAAATGACAACAAAGGATTTAAAATAGTACATAAACTTAGTTGGTGAAGCAGTGGCAGGGTTTGAGAGGACTGACTCCAGTTTTGAAAGAAGTTCTACTGTGGGTAAAATGCTATCAAACAGCATTGTACGCTACAGAGAAATCATTTGTGAAAGGAAGAGTCAATCGATGTGACAGACTTTATTGCTGTGTTATTTTAAGAAACTGCCACAGTCATCCCAACCTACAGAAACCACCACCCTGACCAGTCAGCAGCCATCAACATCGGGGCAAGTCCTTCTACCAGCAAAAAGATTATGACTCTGAAGGTATGCACATTGTTTTTATAAACATATATTGCCTACTAAATAGACTGCAGTACAGTGTAAACATAACTTTTATATGCACTCAGAAACAAAAAAAATTCATGTGATTTCCTTTATTGCGATATATGCTTTATTGTGATGATCTGGAACCGAATCCACAACACCTCTGAGGTATGCATATAGATAAAACAAACAATTTTTGTTGTTGTTGTTAATCCTCACATGAGGATATTTTTCCCCCATTGATTTTTAGAGAGAGTAGAAGGGAGGGAGGGGAAGAGAGAAAGAGAGAAACATGAATATGAGAGACACACCGGTTGCTTGCCTCCTGCACACCCCCTGACTGGGGAGGGGATGTACCCTGCAGCCCACCTACGTCTCCTTGACCAGGAATGGAACCTGCGATTTTTTTACATACCATACTGTTAAGAAACAGTCACTTTAAAAGAATACTTAAAATTTTTTTTGTACTAGAACTAATCTCTGCTGTTCTCTTATTTCTTTTCATTTTGCTTTCTGAATAGTTGTCCAAATGAAATTGAGAGGGACAAAGTTGATTAAACCAGTTTTCTGATATCAATTCAATTCATTATTGATCAATATACATCAATTTAAGGGGTTCAGCATTAAGTAGTTAAATGTGATAAAGCAAAATGAATGGCTGTGTGAAGTAACTGAGTTTCATTTAATCTCTTTCTTTATAACATTATTTCAAATATATGTATATTAACATGGCAAGTGAATTTATAAGAGAAATCAATTATATTATTACATGTATATGCCGCCCCCTTAGTAACACTCTAATATATCACAGTATCAGAGAAATGCACCCTAGAGAAAATGCTGCTGTTCTTCACAGAAAAATCCATGAGTCACATGATGCAACAATTAATTGATGATAAATGATTTAAACCTAGAACTCAGAATAGCTTACTTAAATGCCATCAGAAAAAAAATACCTCACCCGCAAAAAGGAGTCTAGGGATCCATTCTCCATATATTCCACAACAATCATAACTGGTCGGCCTGCAAACAGAGCAAGGGAACACACAGGATTAGAGCAATTACAGAAACAGGAGCTGCAGTTAGAGATTTCCAGCTGTGGCAGCTAAATTGTTTTTTATTGATAGGAATTTCACTTTCCAGCGTGCTTCTGTGAAAGTACTCATACTATACATAGATATCTCTCCATTTCTTTATAGCATTATTTCTTTTGAGTTCATAAAAAGAACACAAATTACAAAGGAATTAAGCACTTCCTTTTCTAGAGCCCCGCGATCGCTGGTTTGTTTAGATGATGTTCTTTCTGTCCTGAGCTTTTCCTTAAAAGAAGCTGAAGTCAGGGTTTACACATTTACTGTAGCTGCTTTGCCAGTAGTGGAACAACTTCCAGACTGGTGCAGTAATTACGGCTGAATCACATCGGACTGAGCATTTCCGAAATATTCCTCAGGCAAAGCAGAAAAGAGAAATTCATAAATTCTCTCTAAGAAATGATACACCATCGGTCATAGTCTGCTTTTAAGGGCTTTTAAGTAGAAAAATGTCAGTAGATTGATGAATGCTACCAAGTTGGTGGGATCTGTAATAATTCTTGATCAACTCTTTATTGGACACAGATTAGATCAACGGAACAATGAAGGCCGCATATGAAACATAAGTAACTCTGATTTCATAGTCTAGTGCAGAAGCTAAAATCAGAAACTGAACATCATTTCTTTTTTATCATATCTATTTGCAATTGTTACAGTTCCTAATACCTCTTTTAGGAAACATATTTGACATAAGTAACTTTGGTTTGTTTCAAAGGAAAGAATCTATTTGTTCTGCTCAATTTCCCACGTTTAAAAGATAAACTCATTTCAGATGAAGGGAGAATGTTATTTATCTGAAACAAACATGTACGACATATTTCCTTTTTACTTCTATATTTCTTGCTTCTCGTTGGAATTTTTAGCAATTTCATCTGCACTGTGCCCACAGTCTTTCCTCATGAGTACAAAGATCTGGGAAGAAATTATGTGTACCGATCATGGAAATATTAGGTCTCATGTTGTAATTCATGCCCCTTTTATGAAGTCAAAGGCTTGTGGGTTAGAAAGGGTGACGGTAACAAATTAGTACAATGTCAGCAAATGCTAGATTTTTACAGTTGAATCTATATTTTAAAGAAAGATGTGCTAAAGGTTAAATGTAATAATAAAGTTTCCAATTTATCATGCATAGAATGAGAACCCAAAGAAGACATCCATTTTGTTGGATCTCTATAATGTTCCTTAAAGCCATTAATTTCACCCACATACAGATAAAGAACTTTATCAGAAAATATTGAGGTCAAAGGAACTGTCAGCACTATTGCAGGCAGTGACCCAGAAAATCAGGTTTTAAATCTGAAAGTTTGTTATGAAATCTTTTATTTGGCCATTGGTTTCAAAGAACTCAAGAGATTAGGAGCCTGATGCAAACACTTGGTTAGCAAGGTAGAGAAAAGTAAAGGGTCATCTTAATACTTAAATATAAAAATTCTGTGACCAATATTCCAGTTTGATGTATAAAGGAGTATGCATGTTGAGGGAAAATGCTGAGTTACTACAATGACTACCTGGGTTCTTCTGCCCGGAGTCACAACTTTTCAATCTACCTTGACCACTGCTGCTACTGAAACACATTTAATTTTTTAAACATGTTACTTTACAAATATTTATCATCTCCTTAGGAATGTCAGCCTTACTAGAATAGAAAGAGCTTGCCAGCCCTTCACTTACACTGCTACATACTATCCATATCCCTGTTACACAGGCGAGGAGGTGGAGGGTAGCACGTTGAGCGCCCTGCCCGAGCCGAGCAGCGGGTAAGCGGTGGTGCCAGGCGGCCGCCTCGGAGCCCGCGCCCTCCCTCGGGGCCTGGGGCCTCTCGGGCTCCTCACAGAGCACAGCTCTGCCCTGAGGCCCTGCTAAGCCCACTCTCCTCGCTCCCAGCCAGCCTTGTCGCTTCCTGAGCCATCACTGTCGTTCTCGCCTGCACTTGTTCATTCCTGTCTCTCTCTGCCGTCCCTGTCGGGGGTCCCCTGCCAGGAGAACCCCCAACTCGCTCTCTCCCTACCAAGCTCCCCGCACAGCTCCCCGAATGGAGAGTGCGCCTGCTCCTTGAGTGTCCCACAGGGACGCCTCCCGCAGTCGCATTCCCATCACACCTTTGTCTGCTTCGTGCCAGGCTGCTGTCCTTCATCCTCCCATAGCCGGCCTCCGGCCCTGGTCCCGGGTCTCAGGGCCGCTCCGTGGCCGGGCGGAGCAGGTGCTTCAGGGAAACACGCTGAGTTCCTCCGCAGTTCCATGGGTCCTCAGAGCAGCCCTGAGGCCTTTCAGCAAGACCCTGATCTACATGAATACAAAGTGCTTTGAAAGTAGTTCTCTCTAATAACTCCTAGGGAGATACTTGATGCAACCCTAAAATTCATCAGTGACCAGTTTAATCTTCTCGTTAAAGGTAATAAAGAGTCGGACGGAGACTCCCTAGGTTTCTTACGAATTAGAAGTTTCACACCTGAACTCCCTATCTTTGTATTTTGTCCAATAGCATCAACCAGAGCAGCTGTCATTGAACTAAGGCGCTGTTTTTAGAACATTGCTGGTGTTTCCCAGTGGTTTTCCATAGGGAAGTTAGATACACTACGAAGGTTGCAAGCAACTTTACAGTTCATGATTACATTTTATAGTCAAGAAAATAGGTAAGTCGAAGGGAAATTAAGGAAGTTACGACAGTACTCTTCAAATTCCTGATTAGGTGAGAGAAGTCATCGGTAGCAGTGCTTCTTGTGTCTTATTTTTTAATATGTAAAAGTTATATATTGCACTATTGCTCTTGGAAAATGTATTTGGAGGTGATTAATCCTCATTTTACATTTTCAAAATATTTCACTTTATTTCCTTTTTTTTTTGTTTTACAACTTTAACCACTTACTCAGTGCCTAGCATCACTGAATTAACTTGGTATTTGCATTGTACTGAAATCAATGGACTCCAGATTCTTGAATCAGTCAAGTCTCCAAATCCACAGATCCTTTTTTGAAGCCTCATCAGTTTGATTTAAGAGATTTTCAAAAATATTTCTACAAGTCACACAAAAAGTGAATTTCCTTGGTGTTTCTTCATAAATAGCCCAGAAAAGGTTACAGATATTTTAAACTGCATTGGAACTGAGGTCCTGCAACAAATCACGTATTGATATCTGAACACAGTGGATCGTAAGATCCCATGTCATTTTTTTCTGTTGTGAAGACCAATTGTTTTAATTGGAACTTTTATGAACTATTGACTAATAAATATTTTCAAATTGGCGGCTTCCTAATACTTAAGATGAATTGTAGGTGGTGTTAAGAAACCATGTGATGAAGAGACTATACTTGTGCTATTGTTACAGAAAACAAAAGAAAGGCATTCTTTAAATCTAGGGGAAAATACTTTCCAAGTGAAATATTTTTTTCTTTTTTGCTTCAGTGATGATTTATGAAAGAAGGGGATTATAGAGATTTAACATTTTCATAGAAGTAATGAGTTTGTGCTGAACGTAGTGTTCTGTATCAGTTTGGCAATTTCTAATGTGCAGTCAGTAATGTAAAGAATCAAAACAAAACTCAACAATCCCAAAACTCTATTTCAGATTTAAATCAATTCTAGTTTATTTAACATTATATCATGTCTACATTTTGTCTACCAGATAATAAAATTTGCATTCGTATCTTGGATTGACAGGTTGCCCGTGTTCCCTGCCCCCCGGTTGCAGTTCAGTACTTTTAAAGCCAGTTATTTGATCTATTTCTACCTCCCGTTTCTGCAGTAGAGAGAGAAAATTATAATCTCAGATGGATTTGATAATAAATGAAATGATTTTCTTACTCCTCTAAGGCATTCAAAAGATATATGTGATGTATATTTCAACATTGTAATATATTAGACAATTACTTTTATTCACAAGATAAGTGCTAAAACTGGGAAATTGTTTTCTCTTATACTATTGCCTGGTGATTATCAGATCATGTCCCAAACAAGTCTTATCCTCAGTGAGTTCAGTGCAAGCTTTTAATATTTCTCCAGAAGTTTCTTTTCCTCCCATATTCCTGTTTTGATTAAAACATTACCATCCATCCTGTTACCCAAGTTTGAAACCCTATTGTAATATTGAACTTCTCACTTTAGTAAACTCCTGTTAGTCCAGAAGTTATTAAGTTGTGCTGATTCCATAGAAAATCATCACTGCCCTGATTCTGATATTTTTTGTGTGTGTGCTTAACTTACTGCAAAAATCATTTACTAGTTTTCCTTGCTAATGCTTGTACAACGATTATTTTGAACATTCAGTGATATATCAAATATTATATTTTTGAATGCCTACCTACTATGTATCATTTCTGGTTTCTGGAGAAACATCCTCAATCAATACAAAATCCCTGCTCTCATACAGTGCATGGTGGAAAGAGAGATAAAAATAAGAAAACAGCTTATTTTTAGAGGGTTAATGTCCCACCCTACTTTAAAGACAGTTTTACTTATTGTATTGTTTGTTGCAGGATCAAAGTCAAGGGCTTGGCAATTAGGTTCCTTCACAATCTCTCCTTTATCTCTGCTTCTAGTGTCATCTTTCATGTCCCCCAGTTCCCCTAACTCCTGTTTTTCCAGTTCTCTAGGTAACTCATGATTCCCTAAGCATGGCTTTATGTGCCGCCTCCTCACCGTCTCCACCTGGTAAGATCACACACTTTAAAAAAAGAGCGCAGCTTCAATACCACCCCCATCACCAATTCTCCCACGAACACTTGCCCATTTGCAAACACTCGACTGTTTACTTTCTCCTTCCTTTACATCTTAACCACACGATTTTATGAAGCTTGTGGTGTGGTGTTAAGGTTAACTAGGTGGGTGTCTGCCTCCCACTCTGAAATGCAGTCGAGGTTGGACTTGGGCCTAATTCTTGGTAAGTTCACTATTGAGCACAAGAACTAGTCCCAAGAGCAGGTACTCAATTATATT